TATATATATATATAGACACATATGGGGTACGCCCCCCTTCCAAAAAAACAAAACAAACTTACTCCTGATGTTCTTATGTATATGTATATGCACATATGCAAGTCTCCTGGCAATAAACAAACTGCTTGAAGATGGGTTTCCACAAACGGGCCCGTGTTAACACGGACCGTGTCAATTAACGCGGTCCCCTGGAGCCAAGAGCCAAGATTCCCAACAAAGCTTTCGGACAGCATCTTGGTTCCGGCACTTGGGCCCGGGGCCCGTGTTAATTAGCACGGCCCCATGGAACCAAGAAAAACCAAGAATCACGAACCAAGATTCCCAACAAAGTTTTCGGACAGCATCTGGGTTCCGGTACTTGGGCCCGGGCCCCTGTTAATTATCATGGACCGTGTTTATTAACACGGTCCCCTGGAACCAAGAACCAAGATTCCCAGCAAAGTTTTCGGACAGCATCTTGGTTCCGGCACTTTCTTTCGGGGGCTTGTGTTAATTTACACGGCCGTGTTAATTCCCAATGTCCCGTGGGCCCATGCGTGGTTCCGCTTTTAAAATGGGCCGAGGCCCACGTTCGGGAACCAAGATGCTGTCCGCAAACTTTTCTGGAAAACTTGGCTCTTGGTCCGTGTTAATTAGCACGGGCCCGAGTAAGGAAACCGATCTTCGGACAGTTTTCTGCCAGAACTCTTCCGAATCTTGGTTCTTGGTTCCTGAAACTCTGTACGTTAGGCCGCCTTGCACAGCCACTGGGACGGTAGCCCTACGTTGGGCCAAGCACCCAGACACGATCGTTTCAGGACCAGTACCACAACGTTGATATAGCCAGCCTCGCGCAGCCATTTGCGATCATGTTGGGCCAAGTACCCAGACACGACCCTTTGAGGATCAGTACCACGTAGTCAGTCCAGCCTGTCATTAAAGTCGTGATCCTCGGTTCATGGCCCGTGTTACGTATTACGGGCCAAGTCATTCGTATGGGATTTAATCATTTTACGTTCGTGGTTTTATCAGAACATTCAGAGTTTATCAAATAATGTTGTTACGTAGTCCTGCTAGCTGCTAGCCCCTTAAACAGCCTGTTGCAGATCCTGAACCTTATGATACCATGTCGGCGAACTCTCAAGCCACGGATCCATACTAGGGAATTGAGTAGCTACTTTAGGTGTCTTTGTTACGGTCTTAAGTTCCGAGTTTATGGTCAAGGGCTTTAGGTTGAGGACATAGAGAAACAACGCTTTTTTCGTGAGTGAGGCCTTAGATTGTTTAGCTATAGTTCTTGGTCTAAATTGAAAACATTCAGTTTAAGCTTTTTGGTGCAGCAATGTTCAAGTTTGGATTTACGGCTAATGTTGTAGTCTCGCTGAGCGCTTAAGTTGTCATTCAAGATGTCAGATGAATGGGTATGCGTTGGCGTCGTCTATAGTGCTCCAGCTATGACCACAAGGGGAATCGTCCTAAAAAATGGCCTGAAGGAGAGGGTTACTATAATTATTGTACGGCTTTGGGCACCTATGAAATACGAAGTCTGCAAGTAGACTCTAATTTAGGGGTCAGACAAGTAAATGGCGAAAGTCTCCCAATATATTTATGCTATCTTATACCCAAAATATTGTTGTTGTTACTAATACTATTCGTATTTGTATCATTATTAGTGTGAGAAGGCAGGTCCGTGTATTATCAATATAAGGCCGCCAGGGTCAGCATTCAAACGAACTTATATAAAAATGAAGACAGGAGTTTAGGGCATCTGCATCCGACAATGGTTCCTTTACAGAGATGTCTGAGATTATTGGATTCTTTATGTAGGCGCTTCGTGGTATATGGTTTTTAGGAGCTATCAGGGAATATGTTGTTACTAAATCTTCAGACCTCTGTAGTAGGATATTGAGAACGTAGGGAGGCAAGCCGGGAGGCAGGTAGGCATGCAAACATGTTGCGAGTGTAGCTTGGACTTATTGTCGTTTGGGTTTTGGGTTGTTTGAACTGACGAGGCTTGTTGGTTCTGAGCCTTTTTAGAACTGCGTTGTGTTGGTAGAGTTTCCAGCCCAGCCTGCAGCGAAGGCTATTGAAGGGCTTCAGGATGCAACAGTTCCTGCCAGGTCCTGCGGACCAACTTGAACTTTTGGGGCATTTTCAATAAGCTCAAGTATATCCTCTTCATGGCCTTTGACTCAGCTATCCGAGGAAGCAGGACATACACCGCTTGATGGAGAACGTACCTTGGCACTCTGCGACAGGTGATTAGCAACGTGGGGGCCAACCTGGCTGCAGAGAGCAGTCTGAAGCGGCCAAATGCATTGCCTTTTCACGTGATTATGACAAACATGAGGCCGGCCTTCGTTGAGTTCACGCACACTGCACATATACGATGCACATGCAGCATGTGCAGCGGCCCGCACCCTTCCGCACCTGTGCGCCTGGCCCGCTATAGGCTAGGCACCCTGTGCGCCAAAGCGGATCCCCGTCCATCCATAGAAACCAGCCGCCCAGGCGCGCACTCACACACTGACGCCCGCCCGCAAGCAAACCTGCCAGCCCGAGCGCCCGCGCAGACCCGCATTCGCACGCGACCGCGCATTCCCTCGTCAATGCCTGTTCACGCACGCGCGAATGCACACGCTCAAGCGGCTGGCTGCACTCGCACATGCGAGCGCACGCACGCACACGTGCGGGCACAGGGGCCGGACAGGGGCGTGCACGCACGCACGCACGCACGACAGAGAGACAGAGAGAGAGAGACGGAGAGAGACGCCGGCTGTCTCTCCTGGATCAGGTGATCAACAGTTCTGGACATGTGGGGGTTTACCAAAAACCCTCCAACGTCCCAGCAGCCCCTTGAAGTCCTTTGACGGTGAAAGAAAACGTGCCACTTGATATGCGTACTATTAAATACTAGATCTGTGTCCTGTGCATGTTTTCTCCGCTTGGACTTCGTTGTCGACGAAAGCGTACACTCATCATGAATTCGTTATCGTAAACTTCAGGCTTTAGCCCAATGATGAGTTACGCTCGCATTTCACTCCCCGAAACCCGACAACGATCGGGTGGGCTGAATGCGCGGGGATCTTGACCGATCCCCATGCCCGGGAGAGAGAGAGAGAGAGAGAGTTCACCGAAAAGGCCCACTCAGCTTGTAGCAAACGGCTAGGGGGGTCGACGGCGAGAGCGCAACACTAGGGTACACGGCAGTGCGTTTTTTTCCCTGTTTCAGTCGACCCTCAGCCAAAAGTAGCCACGAGTTTCAGGACCTTTCCGGGGACAACACTCAAACTTCGGCATGGGGGGCCTAGCTTACCAGGCTGCTGCTGTTAGGTCGCTCGCTCGTTCTTCCATGGAGCATCTCTTCAACACACCCCAACATGGGGGTTCGATTCCCAGAAACATTGGGGCTTTACCGCGATGGTTACCAGTAAGCCCCCACGGCTGCCAAAGGGGCGCGGAGATGAGGCCGGTGGGGTCGCTAGTCTACAGGGTCGGGGCTTACTGTAGAACCATCTGGGGCAAACATTGTCCCAATATGCATCGGTCATAAATGACCCCAAAGCCGACCACTCAATTGTAAAAGGAGTGGTCGGGCGGGCCGATGGCCTGAGGGTCCCTCGCGGACCCCTACAAAAAAGAGACGCCGACGGCAGCGAGCCCAACTACCTTCCTGAACGGGGGGATGAGGCACCAACGAGTGCCAGCGAGGAGACGAGTGGCACAAGCCACCGACGTCGTGGTGGACTACTTGCAGCACACCTCCATGACTAGAGTGCTGTAAGGAGGGGGACATTCTCCTCGTGTTGGGCCCTGTTCTTGATCGCTTTCAGGCTGCTGTACTCAGGAGGGGGACTGCAACAAGTGCTTCACTTCCAGCTCCGAGCGACTTCGCAACAGAATCGGCAGTACTGTTGTTTTGAACTAAGGCTGGGTTTAGTGTAAATCAGAAAGCTCCTGCGCTGCACTCCGCAGGCACAAGAGTTCGATGCTTCGTGTGAAAACACGTTGCTGCAGGCGGGGCCCCGGGGTAGGGTTTCTTCAGGGTCGTGCTTCTTTCGGTGGGTTTCTTTGTGAGAGTCCTGTGGGCTCTTCTTTCAGTTCTAAATTGGTAGCGGAGCGCCGGTTGCTCCATCTTGTCTGTCTTTCGTTTACCGCGCACTCTCCGTCTTCGGAATCTTTGTTTTATCCTTCGGGGTTTGGTTTGGGGTTTTAGCCGCGGGCCATGTCGAGCTTCTACGGCACGGGCGTCTGGCAGCCGGACGTCGATGTCGGAGGTGATGATCGCGAGGATGATGGCGACATGCAGAGCGGTGCGTACGGCCGCGAAGAGACCTCTGATCCGTGGAGTGACGGCCAGTGGCAGCCCGGCTGGTGGAAGAAGAACTCCAACTCGGTGCACATCACGGACCTCGAGGACGACGACCTCGAGGAGGCCATCGACGCCGACGAGACCCTCGAGGAAGGCGACGCCGCGGACCTGTACGAGAGCTACATGACGCATGTATCCGCAAAGCAGAAGTACGGAGAGCAAGCCCGCATGCGCGGGTCGGACCCCGAGGCCATCAAGAAGGTTGCAGCCGAGAAGCTCCAGATGGTTAAGGCCAGATCGTTTTGTGCGGGTTGCAAGCGACGTGGACATTGGCACAAGGACCCAGAATGCCCGCTCAAGAAGAATGTCCAGGGTGGCAGCGCTGGGGCTGGCGGCTCCAATGGTGGCGGCACTGCGGCCAATGGGCGCGGCGCCGCGGCCTCGCCTACTACAACCTCGGCGACTTCGACGGGGCAAGGCCTGCCGAAAATAAATTTCCCGTGCCATGTGGTGCATGTGACGTGGGACCTCGACAAGGACTGCGTGAGGACCCTCCAGGCCATCACGGACACTGCTTGCTCCAAGACCGTGGCCGGAGCTCCATGGATCGGGGCCTACATCGACGGGCTCGGGATGCCTTCAAGTTTGGGGCTTCAAAGATCTTCGAGGCGACATACGCTGTCGTTGTGAACTTCGGCCTAGGGAACAGCCTGGTGCGCATCAAGGTCTGCGTCGTCAATGGTGATGTGCCGTTGTCGCTTAGCAGGCCTGCTTTGGGTGCGCTTGGGATGGTTTTGGACGTTGCCGAGAACAGTGCTGAGTTCCGGAAGGTAGGAGTACGTGATGTGCAGCTCGAGGTGACTGCCACTGGTCACCCTGCATTACCTGTGCAGCCGGAACCGCTCCCAGCTGGGACGACTGCTCTCTTTGCGAGCGGAGATTCAGAGCTTCAGATCCTTCCGAAGGCTCAGCAATACACGGCGGTCATGACCACGTGCTTTGACGATGAGGTTGCAGGTGAGTGTGAACGTGATGTACCACAACCTCCTCTTCTATTTTACCCTAAGAAGGTTGGCAGTGCTACCCACAACATGTTGCTTGAAGACAACTTCTGTGTGCAATCGTTCATTGCATGGTGGGAAGGTACGAACATCTCCAACGACTTTTGGGTAGAAGGTGCAAACATGTTAGTTCGCGTGCACATGATCCCTAGGAGACACTTCTTCGATCCCAGAGAGTGGACTACTACTCAGAAACAACACAAGCAGGCTGTCGTGGAGGCTCTCGGTGAAGTTCGCAGCACATGGGGTGTGTCATGCAAAGACTACCGTACTCTTGCCCCTCAACACGAGCTTTGGCGACATGACAAACCATGTGTTCCTTTTGCGATTCTTTGGATCGGGAGAACTGTCTTAAGTTGCTAGGAAGCCCATGCAAAGTTTCGCCTCCGTCTGTTCTTCGCCTGCGCTGAGTGATCATGGCGCCCAAGAATGCCGGGTTGATGACCTCCCCGACCAAGGTGAAGGGGCTCTGGGACTTCAACAAGACGGAGTTGTTGGAGGAAGCGACTACGCACGGCCTCTGGGTGAATCCTCGATGGACAGTGCCGGAGATCAGATCCATCGTCCATGAGGACATGAATGCCCGAGCTTTCCAGGCGAATCCCAACAACCCGACCACGGGCATCTCCAGGATGACGCACGCCGAGCTGGTCACGGCGGCCAACGGCTTGGGCGTCCAGATCCCCGAGAATGCGACGAAGGGCACCATCATGACACTCATCCCGGGACCATGCGGGAGGCGGGAGCCAGCTGGTGATGAGTTTCGGCCGCTACCGCGGATACCTGTACAGAGAGGTTTGCTTGGATACAGGCGATGGGCAATAGCCGAGGTGATCGCGAACGAGAATCATTTGGAAGAGCTCCGACAATTCGCGAATTGGAGCAAAGCCAACATGGAGAACCTCACTATACGCCGGCCCGCTACACGGACCCAGACGATCCGGAACTGGTGGCGAGGACACCGTACGTCCCGGAGAGCTCCGAACCACAGCTCGGAACTACTTGCGCGAGCACCCTGGATGAATCCCGGGACTACACCAAAGGCGAATAAGGCCAAGGCATCCACGACACGCCGCAGCGCGCCGAGCTCTTCGACAAGCGAGCGGGGCGACCGGAGAATGGAGACGGAAGTGGACGTCGAGGTGCTCGACGAGATCCAGCACTTGGAGACGAGGCTGGCAGTCATCCGGGACCGCCACGGTTTGGGTCGTCGTTCCGACGACGGGACCGCGCAGGACTGAGCGAAGGTGATCCCGAGCGGTCTGCTGACATCCAGGAGCAGGCTGGCCTTCAGGGAGAGGCTGTAATTCGTCTTCGCTCCTTTCGCTGATGGTCGACAGCGCTCGCTCGAAGCAGGTGTAGCACGCTTTTCCTCGACACCCCCGTCTTTCAGCACAGCATAGTGGCAGTGCCGGCTTGGGGTGGAACAGTCTCGGCGTACTTTGCGAGCGGTTGCAACGCCTCAGGGCCGCCGTATAGCCGAGCCGCTGGGAGGCAACCCTCCAGTGGAAGTCCTTAAAACCCTGTGACCCACAGTGCGCGTTCGCGTGCGAGGGCGGGGCAGCCGCCTTCCTCCTCTGGCCTGGCAGAGAAGAGAGAGAGAGTGAGAGAGAGAGACAGAGAGAGAGACAGAGCCCCGCCTGTAAGGGGACGCAACTATTGCTAAATGTTCCGACCCCCCTATAGTAGAACACGTTTTGGAACCCAATCGCCACCTGTGCCCAGGCTGCCACACGAAGTTCAGCACCACGCTATCCTCAGGATTCAGGGCTTTGATTGAAATAATTTCAGACTCTGGGCTCCAGGGTTCTAGAGTTTGGCCCTTAAGTTCAGGGCTTGAGTAGCCGGGCTCTGGGCTGCGAGAGTTTTGGGCCGCTGGCTATGTAGGTATTCCACCTGACTGGTGAAGTTCGTGGAGTAAGATGTGGAAGTTTCCCAAAACCGGGGACCCTAAGATAGGACCCTACACAGTAGGAT